TCAGGAATTATAGAGACAGTAATCAGAAATGATTGATATGTACAGGCCCTCATGTTCACAGGAAATATTACCTCATTGAGAGCCTTACAAATTTTTAATCTATTTACCCCGGTACTCATTTCCAACAGACATTAATGATTTGAATCTTCCATTTCCCAAGTAACAGTAAAATACTTTCATAGTTTATGTGATCATTAATTGAAATAAAAAGCAATTATGAAACTTAATAAGTCTTAGAATAGTTTTTATTAATGTTCATGTTTAATTAATTCAGTCACTAATGATTTTCTTGACTGTCTTGTATGTATATACGACTGCCCTTAGCTATGTTGAATTTCATAAAGGAAGTGGTGGTTGTGACATCACACAGGCATAAACACAGTTTCGGAATGGTGTATTTATTACTATAGAATGTTTCAAGACATGGCTCAACAGAGTTCACAAGGTCAGAGTTATAAATCTAATTAACCTTTCTACTTAATTATGTGTTTTATGTTGGATATAAATGGGAACACTCAAGTTGTCAGAGTACATCATAAACTTTGGACTCCATCCTGTACAATCTTCCTGGCTTTTGGAGAACACATGCACCTGCAGTTATCCTGACTATGACAAGTTGATTAGAAGTTAATGAGTGAGATGAGAGACATTATGGAGTATGTGTGAAGTTGATGTTGAACTGTACATGAAGTTAAACAGACCAGGGTTCACACGTGCAGTTGAGGGGAAATAACCCTTCTAGTGTGGTTTACAAATTAACATGTAATGTTTGACCCTGCATGGGCACAGATTTTGGAGACTTCATCCACTAGGAGTCACATACTTTAGTAACTACTCTTTTTCAGGAGGAGTACCTCTGAAAAATAAAATTAAATAAGCTAAGGGAAATATGTCATTTTATTAGGGCCCCGCAAGGATTTGTGGGTGCCCTATAGTAATTACTCTGCCTGTCTGTCCGTCTGTCTGTCATTCTTCCGTCCACAAATTTTCTGTTTTTTTCTAATAACTTTTTTTGTAGTTGACCAATTAAGTTCAAATTTGGTATGTTGGTTGAAGAGGCAGTAAGACATATTTTGATGCTAAGTTTGGTTCTCTGTGTCATCCAGTTTGGAGCTGGGGTGGTGGGGTAGATTCCTTAACTTCACATTAGAATGAATGCCAGGGCAAAGAGAGATAACTGCTGAGAATGTTCCTATTGTAAACTGTGAAAGCTGCAACTAGTCCCATGGGATTAATTAACTTTCCTCTTGAAGAAAATCCAAAGCATTATATGTTTCTGTCAAATTGAGATTAATTAACACCTCTGTCTGCAAATGAAGTTTGTTTTGAAGTTAAGGTCAATTCTGAATGATGTTTACATTCTCTGAAATATGGATTTAAATAATGTTCATACTTTATTTTGGTAAAATATACAACGAGTTATGATTTTATTGAATTCTAAAAACAAGATATACATAAAGATATGTTTTTTTTGTTTGTTTGTTTTTTGTTTTTGTTTTTTTTATTCTTTTTTTTTTTTTGGGGGGGGGGGGGGGCTGCCATATGTAAATTCAAGAATACTATTAATTTTAACGGGTAGTCCAATAATAAACTCATTCTGTCATTACTGAAAGAGTTCTTATTGTAAATTTGGAAGAAAAGGATGAGAGAGCAATACAATTAATCCCTTGGGATTAATTATCTTGTCTTGGGCAGAAAATTTTCCAGGCTTATCTTTATTTGTCACTTTAAGATAAATTAACCATTGTCTGCAACTGATGTTTGTTTTGAAGTTGAGGTCAAGCCTGGGTGATATTTGTATTCACTGAAGGCTGGCATTTTATAAAACACATGCTTTATTCTTGTTTAAATATACATTTAATTGAGTTATTATAGATATGATGTTTTTTTTACTGCCTTATGTAAATACAGGAATACTCTTTACAGGTTGTTGGATATTTAAGAATTATCTTGAAATTTTATAAATACAGTTGTTATTGCATATTCTTCTTCATATATTTTTAAATTTTTGTAATCAATTAAAATTCTCATTCTGTAAGCTATACCCTTATATTTCTACCCCTCGGCGGGGCCCTTGCTGACTGGTCAGTTTTCTAGTTTGATATGCAAGGGGAAAAGATGAAGAGTGATTCATTTTATAGAGCAGGTAATACCACTGCATGGGTTTATGGCAAAGGTTTGTGTATGATAAAGAAAGTGATACAGCTAGTTTTTTATAGTAAGAAAATCCCTGTAGCTCAATCAGATTGTTAGTTTAGAATGGTATGTGTGAAGATAATGAGCAATGATATCTCAAAAAACCTACAAACAACAGGGCATAAAATATAAACCCCTAGAAATTCCAGAGGTGGGTTCAGGTGCCTTGGAGGAGTATGCATCCCCTGTCAACCGTTCTCACCTACCTCAAGCCCTAGGTATTGATCAGGTAGAAGCCAGGATTATGTCTTGTCAACTTGTGAAAAGCTTGATTAACTTTGTCATGTGAAGAAATTTTTATGTGATTTCTCTGTTCGACTATTGATTTAAAATTAGCACTGAAACCTGCTTCACAAGCTGTCTCAACACACCTCTAACCTTAACCATTGATCATGGACACTTGTTGCAGTTTATACTGATTTCAGTTCACATCAAGGTTGGTTTCTTTTTTAAATTTTGATACGTGAAGATTTGGTTATGGTCCTTCAAGCAATCTGATTGGAAAAATCACTTAGATAATGACATATGGATGTCTTGGGAATAAGGACACATTCTAGATTGTATATGGAGAAATTATAGGAAATACCATTACAGAGTTTATCTGTGTGTCAGAAGCATGCATAATCTGATTCTGTTAGGCCTGATGTTTTAAGTGTCAGTGAAATTGAACTCTAAAAGCCATCTATGTATCAACTGCAGTGAGACTGATATAAAAGTCTATTGACTCAGAAAGAATGTACTGTAAACCTTCCCACTCATATTTTTTCTTGAGGGAAAGGCTTTGAATTCTACGTCTTTTCAATGACCACTTTGTCAAATGCTGTGTACAGGTAGTGTCTATTTAGGCCAAAGTTTTTATTTTTTTTGGTTTACGATTTTCTGTCTCCAAAAAATGCATTGGGTGGTCGAAAAATAAAAATAAAAATAATTTAGGATTCAACAATTTCATTTTAAAATACCAGTAATGTTTATTTTAATGAAAATAATACATGTCAATAGTACTTTTAAGTTCTATTGTCTAGATCACATAACTCTTTTTATTTAATTTTAATTCATTTCTAACTTTAGACTGAATGTCATTTTCATTTAGTTCTGATTTTTGTTTATCAATCAGTGCTTGGTTCATGATGTTCAACTTCTTTTTGTGCTCTTCAGTGATATGTGATGTGTTATAAACCTCAGTATCCCCACAAACTAAAAATAAGGATCCAAATTTAAGTTAAATTTAGATTGAAGAAAAATACAATTTAATTGTTTAACAATATTGAAAGTAATTAACGTTGAAATAAAAGTTATAATAATTTGATCATGCAGCTATCAAATTTAATGTTCCAATAATTTCTCAATCAAGTCCTTCTTCAAATTTTGTTATGTACCTGCACAGTAGGCAATGCTCATTATTTACTTTATAGTAATTCAGAGGGCTCTGATCTCAATTGAGTATCAAATTTGCAAAGATTTGTATATTAAAATTACTTCTATAAATTAACAAAATGTTTTATACACATTTGAATTTATCCAGTGAAATACCAGTCAGCTTTACTTCAACTAAGATGTATCTCTCAACACTAAATTGGCTTCACTATTATCCATGGATTTATCAGCCTATGATTTTGGGAAACACCATTTTTAGGGAATTGGGAACAATTATCGGCTATTTGATGAAATTGGAAAATTTTTTAAAATGTTGCTTAAATCATGTATTCAGGGGTAATTCATTTAACATTTCAGCATGAACTCTAATTTGGGCAACCAAATGACAATTAAATATGATCCATCTTCATCATACCATGATACAAGATCAATTATGAATAATAGACTAATAAAGGTAAAATGGACTTCAATGAGTATAAAGTATTTTTACAACTTAGGGTAGTACATGTACATGTGTGTATGAGATTTCAATTTAGGTCATTATAGTATCTGTTTCTGGAGATTATAAACCTCCTGCAAAAATTATACTAAGTACACATTTTCTAAAAGTCCTCTTCACTTGCAGATCAATAGAGTAGGTGGAAATAGCTTAATAAATCTATATAATTACACAATATCATCATTTTTAGAAAAACGGAGGAAATTCGGATTAAAAGTTGGCGATGTTTTTTCAGTGTTTTTAAACATGTGTTATGACTGTAGCTTTGCTAAATGAGTTAAATAGATGAAAATTACAGACAATCTGACAATTTTACTTTTTTCCAAAGATAATTAAAAATAAAAGCATTGTTCACCAATTGGGAAAAATACTGCCAAATTGGAAAAACTGAACTCATTTTCAATTGGGAATGAGGACGAATTTCGGCCCATGAGAAGGCACTGATAAATCCCTTTTATCTATAGGTGTATCCGTGTCTGCTAGGTCGATCAGGGTTGGGCTCCAATATTACGGTATGAATTTAGCCAATTGAGACATCGCAGTTAGAGAAAGGGATCATGCATCCAAGATTTTATTCACTTTTCCATGCAGAAAAAAGTTCTTTAAGTGTGTGTCATTGCTTTCAGTGAGGAATTACCTTGTTACATGACAGAACCGCCATTTTTGGTTTGCACATGTGTTTATTTACGGTCACCTAAATGTTTGCTAAAGGGCTCATATATTTATAAGCGCTTATTTGACTAAGATGCATTCTAAAATTTAAAACCCACCAGTTTAGCTGAGAAAAATCCGGAAAAATATTTCGGAAAAAGACATTATTTTTATTTTCATGATTGGTGAAAATTAGGGTCGGCGGAATCGTAAACCAATTGAAAAAAAAACTTTGGCCTTACTTTATATAAATTAACTGATGTTTATTTGTTTATTACAGACAGTGAATCTTCATTAAGCCAAGGAGGTTCCAGTAACGACTCCAAGCGACCAGTATTTGGAAGCAGAGAGAACGTGATCCGCTCAGAGAGTGCCCTGAGCCCCACTAGAGGAGATCAGTATTCTGAAAAAATTCGCTCTGCCTCAGAAAATGGGGTATTCCTCACAAACATGCCAAAACTGGCCTCAACAGCTGATGTGGAATTTAAAGAGTGTACAAATACTCCATCATATTTAAAACTAAGTTGTGCTGTGAGTGGTTATGGGAGATACAGTCAGTACAGTTCATATAAATCTATAGAGAAACGCTCGCCATATTCTAGCTGTTTATCTTTACAATCGGACTACAAAATGCCAGTCACTAGAGTGACCTCCCCTATGAGACGGACTTCTGCGTCAAACAGTACGCTAGAACTGGGTCTTATATGTCCCCAGCCCTTAGTGTATGATAATGGACTCATTTCTAATGGTGCATCAGAGAATGGACAGGGTGTGTTACCAGACGATCACTACCCCACAGGAGACAGACAGCAGGTAAACATGATTGGAGTGGTGGTGGTTGGGGGGGGGTACTGTAGTCAAAGGTCATGTGAGCTTGACGTCAGTGTGTTCAGGCCCAAATCTTACAGCCAGATACAGTGATGAATTAACCAGATCAGAGATTATCAGGAAATTATATAACAGTCTCAGTTATAATTGAAAAAAATAATGAAGAATAATGACTCTTTACTTTGCATAGAATTGTAGATGTATACATTTCTCAGAGATCATAAGCTGATATGAATAGATTTATTGAAAAGTGTATGTTGAGCAAGACATTTGTAATACATATTGAAACTATGTCCAAATTTGTATTTGAATAATAATAATGCTTGAAGAATTAACCCACTCATTATGGCATATATCTGACAGAGATGGAGAATTTGTTCTGCTGTGTGCATTGCTCTCCTGGATCTATTTTTAGGATGGGGAATACTTTTTGAGACTTACCCAGCAGTGGGATGACCAATTAATGTCACACTGTCGGCAGATAGAGGGAGACTTAGAGAGTCCCAACACCCCAGAGGATGGTATGTACATTTAAAATCCACACAGCCCAGTGTTTGGTAGGGTTATTGTGCCATAGGTTTGCATATTAAAAATCTCCAGTATTCCTGCTGGTGTAGTAGTTTATCATATTTATGGAAGTCTCTTATTATGATCTTGGATCATGGAGGAGGAGGGGTTCATTAAATTTGTTATAGGTTACTGGTACAGAATTGGGCATTTTTATTTCGGATGAAGGTCCTAGACTCAGTACCTCTAAATTTTGTAAAGGATAACAGCAACACACATCCCTCTATATACATACAGGTTTGTAGTTTACTACCCACCCTGTGTTATACACACTACTTTCCATCCCAGCCTATTTTTGTACACACAGATTTGCTACAGCTCTCCCCTCACATACAGATACACACTGTGATTCACAGACAAGAAATGGATGCATTTTGAGTGCAGTTGTAATATGGCCCAGATATACTGGGATTTAATGATATCATTTTTGTACTGAAAGAGCTGCTGTTTAGTGATTCATACATCAAGTATTTTTAGAAGCAGTGATGGCATGATTGTAAAAACTATATCATTGTCATTTAAAACCATAACAGACTTGAGCAAGGAATTCACAAGTTGATCTGTTTTATGAAATGTCAAGCTTATGTATTGAGAGTCTGTTTTTAAGTGAGATGATGTCACTTTTGATTACATAATTGTGATTTTTATGTTCACTATTGCTCATGATAACAAACATCATATTTTAAAGATTTTGTACTTTGATCAAACTGATAATCTTTTATCATGTTGAATTGATAATTAAAACTTGCATTCAACCTGTTAATGTTTCATGTTAACATGACAAATCAGACTTCAGACCTTTTGCAGACACATTCAAGCTCCATATCTCAAAGACTTCAAATAAGAAATTTGAATATTATATATAATGTAAAATTATATATATTTTAGACAGATTACACTTAAACATATGTCTAACAGCTGTCCCTTTTGTTTGACAGTGCGAGGTAAAATCCGGGCAGCTGTGGGTAAAGCTAATCTGCTGATCTCCCAGAAGTTTAAGCAGTTCCGAGAGCTGTGTGCGGAACACATGGTGAGTGATCTCCCCTGAAATAATAAAAGCAAAATTCCTTCTTGGAAGAAGATAGCATTCATGTTCTCTTCTCTGACAGATCTGGCTACAAAATTTCATTCAGTTCAGTTTTCTTCAGTAATCAGATAATTTAATTCAAGGTCATTTAACACTCAATGTAGTTGAAATGGGCACATGATCAAGAATAGATTCTTTATTTGTTATTGTGTTAAGTCACTGTTTTGAAACTCTGAATTGGCTTTTCAGAATAGTCTCTTTTTTTTTTTTTGGCAACGAGAGAAGATTGTGTTTTGCTCAGTTTATTTGTTTATTTTTGATGTAGTTAATTTTTTAGGTGCAAGGGAAATAGCAAAAAAAAATTTGGTGCAACAATTATAGAAATGTTATCCTCAGTTTAAGAAGAAAATGTTAGGAATTGTTACGTATTTGTTGTAGAATCCTTCTGAAGATGGTAAGGTGTTGAAGTGGGCCGACTTACAGGGATTCTGGGATATGATTAAGATCCAGGCGGACAATATCGATGACCACTTTGCAGAGCTGGACCTGATGAGACAGAATGGATGGAAGGAACTCGCAGTCCATGTAGGTCACAATACAGTAAAGTCACCTAGAGGGACTGCAAATAAAAACTGCTCAAATTTCATAAATATCTTATATTTTTCCTCACAAAAATTATCTTTGGGCCAAGGGATTTATTTCTTTTATTATTTTTTTAGCTCACCTCAACGAAGTTGGGGGAGCTTATGTAATACCGTCGGCGTCCCAGGTTAAGGTTTTTGGAGCAGTTTTCTTTTCAAGTACTTCTATGGCCTATATTAGTCAGAGATGCATGGAGGATGCTTTTAGTGTGTTTCATTGTACCAGTCAAGGTTTCAGATGCTGCAATTTCAGCTAAAGAATGACCAGGTTAATGTTTTTGGAGCAGGTTAAAGTTTTTGGAGCAGGTTAAAGTTTTTGGAGCAGATCTCATTTCCAAGTAACTAAAAGCCCTATATTGACCAAACTTGCATGGATGATACATCTAAGGATGCACACTACTGAACTTGCTTCGGATGCTGGATCTGACCTACATTTTCCGGATGAGTGACTAGGTTAAGGTTTTTGGAGTAGATCTCATTTCCAAGTAACTATAAGCCCTATATTGACCAAACTTGCATGGATGATACATCTAAGGATGCACACTACTTGACTTGCTTCGGATGCTGGATCTGACCTATATCTTCCGGATGAGTGACCAGGTTAAAGTTTTTGGAGCAGATCTCATTTCCAAGTAACTAAAAGCCCTATATTGACCAAACTTGCATGGATGATACATTTAAGGATGCACACTACTGGACTTGCTTCGGATGCTGGATCTGACCTATATTTTCCGGATGAGTGACCAGGTTAAAGTTTTTGGAGCAGATCCCATTTCCAAGTAACTAAAAGCCCTATATTGACCAAACTTGCATGGATGATACATTTAAGGATGCACACTACTGAACTTGCTTCAGATGCTGAATCTGACCTATATTTTCCGGATGAGTGACCAGGTTAAAGTTTTTGGAGCAGATGTCATTTCCAAGTAACTATAAACCCTATATTGACCAAACTTGCATGGATGATACATCTTAGGATTCACACAACTGGACTTGCTTCAGATGCTGGATCTGACCAATATTTTCCGGATGAGTGACCAGATTAAAGTTTTTGGAGCAGATCTCATTTCCAAGTAACTATAAGGCCTATCTGAACCAAACTTGCATGGATGATGCATCAAGGGACGAACAATCTCAAAACTTCGGATGCTGGATTTGACTTACATTTTCTGAATGAGTGACTAGTTTTAAGTTTTCAGATAAGTCCACTCCCAAGTAACTGCAAGCCCTATCAGACCAAAATTGCATAAATGTTGCATCTAGGGATGCACACTCCTAGATTATTAGTTTAGTGTGGGACTTTGCCTTACTTAAAGACAATATTCGTTGAGGTGAGCTCTGTAATCTCTGATTACCTATGTTTTTATTATTAAAGAGCTTGTACATGTTATTTTTTGAAATTTTGTTTTAAAATACTGTCAACCTTGCTATCTCCAACTTAATGGGACTTAGAAAAACTTCAAGATATCTGAGGATTCAATATATTGAGGGTAATTGTGGTTGGGACTTCCACACCAGTTCGGCATATCCATGGTATTTAAGATATCAGTGTTTGAGATACCAAAGTTAACTGTATATTAAGGATATGCAATTTTGTTTTTTTTGTTTTTTTTTTTTTATTATGATTCTGATATTAATTGTAGGCATCTTTTATCCATATCAAGTCTTTGCACCAAACTGCATTTGTTAATGTTTGAGTCACTTAGATTTGGATCAATATAGTTATTTAATAACATCTAGCATTAGAAGATTATCTGATCAAGAGAAAATTGGGTCACAGTAATATAATTAGCTATTGATTTTCTGCACCATTAGAAATGGATAGTCGCAAAGGAACCATAAAACCACTAATAGAGTGCATCAAAACTCCAACAGCATAAAAATGTTCATTTATTTTAGACACACACAACCAGACATTGAGCATAGGGTATTATTTACATATTAAGGTCAGACATAATCCTGAAATCTCTTTAATGTCTTTTAAAGTTCCCTCCCTGTACATGCTGTTCCTATTTAAATGTGTCTAAATATAAATTCAATGGTGAGTTCTGAATTTAACTGAGCAATTGTATCAATCTGATTACAGACATAATGTATCATAAGATCTCTTCTCCAGGTACTTATGTTTGAGGTTTCAAGCCTTTTGTGTATAAAACAGAAAAAGAAATGGATGTGACAATATCTGTAAAAAAGATGTTTAGTATTTGTAAAAACCATTTCATACTATCCCCAAAGATTTCCACAGAAATACTTCATTTTTTGAGTACCTCCAACAAAGATGATTTTTTAGAGTTTAAAATGGAGCATAAATCATATTGGGCCAAAGTTTTTATTTTTTTTGGTTTACGATTTTCTGTCTCCAAAAAATGCATTGGGTGGTCGAAAAATAAAAATAAAAATAATTTAGGATTCAACAATTTCATTTTAAAATACCAGTAATGTTTATTTTAATGAAAATAATACATGTCAATAGTACTTTTAAGTTCTATTGTCTAGATCACATAACTCTTTTTATTTAATTTTAATTCATTTCTAACTTTAGACTGAATGTCATTTTCATTTAGTTCTGATTTTTGTTTATCAATCAGTGCTTGGTTCATGATGTTCAACTTCTTTTTGTGCTCTTCAGTGATATGTGATGTGTTATAAACCTCAGTATCCCCACAAACTAAAAATAAGGATCCAAATTTAAGTTAAATTTAGATTGAAGAAAAATACAATTTAATTGTTTAACAATATTGAAAGTAATTAACGTTGAAATAAAAGTTATAATAATTTGATCATGCAGCTATCAAATTTAATGTTCCAATAATTTCTCAATCAAGTCCTTCTTCAAATTTTGTTATGTACCTGCACAGTAGGCAATGCTCATTATTTACTTTATAGTAATTCAGAGGGCTCTGATCTCAATTGAGTATCAAATTTGCAAAGATTTGTATATTAAAATTACTTCTATAAATTAACAAAATGTTTTATACACATTTGAATTTATCCAGTGAAATACCAGTCAGCTTTACTTCAACTAAGATGTATCTCTCAACACTAAATTGGCTTCACTATTATCCATGGATTTATCAGCCTATGATTTTGGGAAACACCATTTTTAGGGAATTGGGAACAATTATCGGCTATTTGATGAAATTGGAAAATTTTTTAAAATGTTGCTTAAATCATGTATTCAGGGGTAATTCATTTAACATTTCAGCATGAACTCTAATTTGGGCAACCAAATGACAATTAAATATGATCCATCTTCATCATACCATGATACAAGATCAATTATGAATAATAGACTAATAAAGGTAAAATGGACTTCAATGAGTATAAAGTATTTTTACAACTTAGGGTAGTACATGTACATGTGTGTATGAGATTTCAATTTAGGTCATTATAGTATCTGTTTCTGGAGATTATAAACCTCCTGCAAAAATTATACTAAGTACACATTTTCTAAAAGTCCTCTTCACTTGCAGATCAATAGAGTAGGTGGAAATAGCTTAATAAATCTATATAATTACACAATATCATCATTTTTAGAAAAACGGAGGAAATTCGGATTAAAAGTTGGCGATGTTTTTTCAGTGTTTTTAAACATGTGTTATGACTGTAGCTTTGCTAAATGAGTTAAATAGATGAAAATTACAGACAATCTGACAATTTTACTTTTTTCCAAAGATAATTAAAAATAAAAGCATTGTTCACCAATTGGGAAAAATACTGCCAAATTGGAAAAACTGAACTCATTTTCAATTGGGAATGAGGACGAATTTCGGCCCATGAGAAGGCACTGATAAATCCCTTTTATCTATAGGTGTATCCGTGTCTGCTAGGTCGATCAGGGTTGGGCTCCAATATTACGGTATGAATTTAGCCAATTGAGACATCGCAGTTAGAGAAAGGGATCATGCATCCAAGATTTTATTCACTTTTCCATGCAGAAAAAAGTTCTTTAAGTGTGTGTCATTGCTTTCAGTGAGGAATTACCTTGTTACATGACAGAACCGCCATTTTTGGTTTGCACATGTGTTTATTTACGGTCACCTAAATGTTTGCTAAAGGGCTCATATATTTATAAGCGCTTATTTGACTAAGATGCATTCTAAAATTTAAAACCCACCAGTTTAGCTGAGAAAAATCCGGAAAAATATTTCGGAAAAAGACATTATTTTTATTTTCATGATTGGTGAAAATTAGGGTCGGCGGAATCGTAAACCAATTGAAAAAAAAACTTTGGCCTTGTTTTTGTTCAAAATTAGATGTATATTTTTAAGGAAAAAAATAAAGCATTCAGTAAAGTAAAACAACATATCGTGTATAGCAATGCTGTCATGAATAATATTGATGTAATGTATTTTTGTTTTGTAGTCAAGAGGAAGTTCTGTAAATTCAAGTCCAAAGTCTGGAAGTATATCACTGAGTAACGGAAGCACGCCTAGTGGAACGCCAGGGTCCCGAAGGAAAACTCCCAAGGCAAAAGACACGCCAGATTCTTCTCCAGAAAGAACAGAAAAAATGAGGGCAGCAGCTAAGGCACGTGAGGAGGCTCGCAAGAAAATGCTGGCAGACCGACGGGCAGCAATGAAACAGAAACAAAAACAAGAGGATGTGGAGATATTTGTCTCCTGAAAATGGATGTTATTGTATGAGTCCGATGAGGAGGTATTCAACTCCTCAAAGAGGTGAAAAAAGACTTTATTTATTACTAAACTGCCAAAGTGTCAAGTATTCTGAAGCAAGTTTTGGTGCCATAGAAAAGGTGTTATGATTTCATTTTGATGTGAACTGAACAAGTTCAGGAGGCCAAGAGAAGATTTTGGATGTATTTTTGATAGTGGAAATGCACAATATTCCTGGCTAGCAAGTTCACTATATACTCCCTGTCTGAAAATGATTGGATATTAAATGTATCTAATGTTGTTATGGCTTGGAAACTTTGTGGTTGATATACAATGTGCAATATTTGTGAATTCCAAGGTATCGCTGTGTCTACATGTATTGCATTGTTGACATCCAGGGGTAATTTGACCATCATGTAATTGTGGTCTTGGGTATTTATGTCACTGTTGTGGGGAACAACAGATTTAACGTAATGCATATTTATTTACAAAGCCAAATGTGCCAAGAGGTATTTTGGTAAAAAGAATTTTGCAAGGTTTTGAGAAGAAATGTTTCCTGTAGAGGAACATATTTTGGGTAGGCATATAGCACAGAAAATTTATGCAAATCTAGTCACCAGTAAGAAACAATCAATGAGCACCTAAATGATTTAAAGATTTATGTGCAGTACATAGAATTTTATGACTAATTTGTTATTCTGCTCTTGGGATAAACATAGATGTGTACTACTCTACTACCATTTCAAAAAATGTTTTGAGTGGATTTTCCAGACTTGAAACTTTCAAAAAAAACTTTCGCACTTCGAATTTGTATTTGAAAGATTCAGGTCTGGTGAACTTGGAATGTTAAAAAAAAAAACAACAAAAGAACACACATAGGGATGGATATTTTGTTAACTTTCCCAAGACAAGCTATTCCTTGCAAATATTTCTAAGGGAGATAATTCAGATCGGCATGAAATTTCTGCTTCTTTTCGTATCAAACGATGTGTAAATACATAGGTGTATAGATATTTTGCTTATGCATACACATTACATTGCTCATATTTTAAAGCCATTTTAAAGTAAGACCCATTTTCTTCTGCCTTCCATTCAGAAATGGAATCAAAGCACTGAAGATAGATGATGATCTGTATATGATGAAATTTACTTAATTACTTTTTTTTGCATGCATTTTTTTTTAATTATATTTTTTGTCTATGGAGATCTTCACCTTGATTTTTAAAGATAACAATTGTTTTTTAACCAGTATGAATTTTCAGCCTTTGTTGTAATGATTGCATTATAAAAGTTTTAGAATTGCTTGACAGTTTTCTTAAAATTTTCAATTAAACTTACACACCAGTGTATACACATGTTTATAATGAATCTCATTACTCTCTCATTGTCAGTTATTTATTTGTTACTTGTTAATGAGTTGCATTGGTTATCATGTGGTTATAAATATCGTATTTTGTTATTAGAGCCAAGTTTTGTGTTGTGAATCCATTGTATCGCTGAATTTTATCACTTACAGTACTTAATCATACTGAGTTTTGATTTGTCTATATGCTGATCTTTTTTTTTTTTCTTTCTGGAAAATAATTTTTCATTAAAGTCGTCTTCATGTTGAACGAGGGGGAAAACTATATTACAATACACTGTAATACTTTATCAAAAAAGTTAATGTTGTGAATTTGAAACATATTTGTTACATTAATGTTATAATAATCGCAGTGCCTATTATTTCATTCAATAAAATGTTACCAGATTACTTTTTTTTTTTTTTATCTCTAATCTATTACAAGTCAGTTTATCAGGGATTATAATGCTTCTGATTTTTGAGTATGAATGTTTTTTATTTTAAAAAAATGCAGTTTGAACCCACTCTTTTTAAAAATTGAACATTTCTGAAAGAATTGTATGCTTCAACAAACTTATTTAAATCACACTGACACACATCAATGACAAGAAGACTTCATAGTTTAGTGGTTAATGCATTCAGTCTTATACGCCTAACCATGAGCTTTTGGAAAGAGAAATGTGTGAAGCTTTTTTTTTTCTTTTCACATACCTTAAAAACATATGTGAAAAATAAATTATTTATCAATAAGTTACTCAATAAAATAAAGGAAGCGAGGGTTTCTTGTTTTAATTAAGTTTTGCAGCCAAAAATTTTGATAAAAATTAAGCAGAAATGGTATAATCTTATACATTAAGAAAAGTGTTGCTTCAGGCCCCCAAAATCTGAACGTCTTGCATGCCCAAAATTTCAAAATAAAATTGCTGCAGGCAGGGTTGTAATTTGCAAGAATTATCTGCATTTAGTTTATAATGAAAAGGGAAATAATTCAATGTGCTTTTTCAACTTGAAGTAGAAAATTAGTTATTCCCATCCAATATGTCAATAAAACTGATCAATGTGGTACATTCAGCCTAATGCAGCAGTGCCTGAGAAACCAAAGCTGATTTTTTCCCCTTAAGGTCAGTGGCAAGTCAGGATATATCTTGGTCAGAAGTTATGTTATAATGTTCTCCCATGTGAGAATTTTTAGGTGGTGACCTGTAAATATATAGTAAATGTGAAGCCCTTAAAGAATGAATGTTCAATGTTTTGCAGTTGAGTATGGATTTCATTTCACTAGAGGGTCAGAATTTTTTTTTAATTTTCACGAGTGCAAAGATGTAAAAAAAATATCTTCTCACAAATGAAATAAATTCCATATCCAATTAAGTAATATTGAATTTCCCATTTGATATTACATTTTCTTCAATTTGCCTCTGTCTTTTTGTAATGTGGAGTTGTAGGCTGTGACATCAATCATAGTTGAGCTGTCGTGAAACATCATAGCTTAGCAATTATGAGATTGAAAACTGGCAGTTAACATGGATACTAACAACATATTAGGAGAAACTTTGATAGTTTTAGTCTGTGTTAAAATGGTTTATTTACTCTTGCTATCTTATAACAGGGAATATTTTCTTGATAACACTCTTCGTGAAGGGAAGGAAAATCCATGCAGTTTTGCTGCAATTTTGATATTTTCACATCCAAAAATATCATGATTGATTTTTTTTTAGGGATGGCAGTTGAATACAGAATTGCCAATCGGTTAACCTTTAGACCTCCAATTGATTAATCGGTTAATCATATAAAAAAAATTCTGGGCATATTTTATCATGTAGACTCTATTGAAATAAATAATAAGACTTATAAGGTGTTTGTAATATTATGTATATTGTACATTTTATCATGTCCCACCCTGAATATGGCTGGGGCATATAGAGTTTGTCATGTCCATCTTTCGTCTAGCTGTCCTTCTGTCTGTCCTTCCATTGCACTTTGCATTTAACTCAGTTCAAAGCTCAGTTTCAAAGAAATTATTCAAGATATATGTATCAAACTTCATATGCTGATAGATATTGATAAGAGCTATTCAACTGCATCACCATTTTTTGACCTTGACCTTTCCTTTGACCTTGACCTCACTTTTCTTAAATTAATGTTAGCTCAGTTTTTAAGAAACCATTAAAGATTGTGTAATCAAAATTCATATGGTGATATATACTGATGTTAGCTTTTCAACTGCATCAACATTTTTTACCTTGACTTCACCTTTCTTAAATTAGAATTTAGCTCAGTTTTCAATTTATGATATTTTTTTTATCAAACTTCACATGCTGATTTATACTGATGAGAGCTATCAACTGCATCAACACTTTTTTGACCTTGACTTTTCCTTTGACCTTTTCCTCACTTTTTGTAAATTAGTCTTTAGCTCAGTTTTAAATAAACCATTCAGGATAGTGTTATCAAACTTCAATGCTGATACATACTGAAGTAAGCTATTCAACTGCATTAATATTTTTTGACTTTAACCTTTCCTGTGACCTTGACCTCACTTTTCTTAAATTTGTGTAAAGCTCAGTTTTAAAGAAACCATTCATGATATTTTTTTTATCAAATTTCATATACTAATACATACTGATGTAAGCTTTTCAACTGCATTAACATTTCTTTACCTCGGCCTTTCCTGACCTTGACCTCACTTTTTTTTTATATTAGTGTTTAGCTTAGTTTTAAATAAACCATTCAAGATATTTTTATCAAACTTAATTTGCTGATATGTATTAGTGAGAGCTATTCAACTGCATCAAAAACTTTTGATCTTGCACTTTCCTGTGACCTTGACCTCACTTTTCTTTAATTTGGGTTTAGCTCAGATTTAAAGAAACCATTCATGAGATTTTTATCAAACTTCATATGATAATACATACTGATGTAAGCTTTTTCAACTGCATCAACATTTTTTGACCTCAACCTTTCCTCTGACCTTGACCTCACTTTTTTTATATTACTGTTTAGCTCAGTTTTAAATAAACCATTCAAGATATTTTATCAAACTTAATATGCTGATATGAATTAGTGAGAGCTATTCAACTGCTTCAAAATCTTTTCATCTTGCACTTTCCTGTGACCTTGACCTTACTTTTCTTTAATTTGCATTTTGCTTAGTTTTAAAGAAACCATTTAAGATATTTTTATGTAAGCTTATGGACTTATACATAATTTGGTGAGAATTTATCATCTATATCCAATTTTTAAGTTTTCAATTTCAATTTTAAAGAAACTATTCAAGATATTCTCATCAAACTTCATACGCTAAGGCCAAAGTTTTTATTTTTTTTGGTTTACGATTTTCTGTCTCCAAAAAATGCATTGGGTGGTCGAAAAATAAAAATAAAAATAATTTAGGATTCAACAATTTCATTTTAAAATACCAGTAATGTTTATTTTAATGAAAATAATACATGTCAATAGTACTTTTAAGTTCTATTGTCTAGATCACATAACTCTTTTTATTTAATTTTAATTCATTTCTAACTTTAGACTGAATGTCATTTTCATTTAGTTCTGATTTTTGTTTATCAATCAGTGCTTGGTTCATGATGTTCAACTTCTTTTTGTGCTCTTCAGTGATATGTGATGTGTTATAAACCTCAGTATCCCCACAAACTAAAAATAAGGATCCAAATTTAAGTTAAATTTAGATTGAAGAAAAATACAATTTAATTGTTTAACAATATTGAAAGTAATTAACGTTGAAATAAAAGTTATAATAATTTGATCATGCAGCTATCAAATTTAATGTTCCAATAATTTCTCAATCAAGTCCTTCTTCAAATTTTGTTATGTACCTGCACAGTAGGCAATGCTCATTATTTACTTTATAGTAATTCAGAGGGCTCTGATCTCAATTGAGTATCAAATTTGCAAAGATTTGTATATTAAAATTACTTCTATAAATTAACAAAATGTTTTATACACATTTGAATTTATCCAGTGAAATACCAGTCAGCTTTACTTCAACTAAGATGTATCTCTCAACACTAAATTGGCTTCACTATTATCCATGGATTTATCAGCCTATGATTTTGGGAAACATCATTTTTAGGGAATTGGGAACAATTATCGGCTATTTGATGAAATTGGAAAATTTTTTAAAATGTTGCTTAAATCATGTATTCAGGGGTAATTCATTTAACATTTCAGCATGAACTCTAATTTGGGCAACCAAATGACAATTAAATATGATCCATCTTCATCATACCATGATACAAGATCAATTATGAATAATAGACTAATAAAGGTAAAATGGACTTCAATGAGTATAAAGTATTTTTACAACTTAGGGTAGTACATGTACATGTGTGTATGAGATTTCAATTTAGGTCATTATAGTATCTGTTTCTGGAGATTATAAACCTCCTGCAAAAATTATACTAAGTACACATTTTCTAAAAGTCCTCTTCACTTGCAGATCAATAGAGTAGGTGGAAATAGCTTAATAAATCTATATAATTACACAATATCATCATTTTTAGAAAAACGGAGGAAATTCGGATTAAAAGTTGGCGATGTTTTTTCAGTGTTTTTAAACATGTGTTATGACTGTAGCTTTGCTAAATGAGTTAAATAGATGAAAATTACAGACAATCTGACAATTTTACTTTTTTCCAAAGATAATTAAAAATAAAAGCATTGTTCACCAATTGGGAAAAATACTGCCAAATTGGAAAAACTGAACTCATTTTCAATTGGGAATGAGGACGAATTTCGGCCCATGAGAAGGCACTGATAAATCCCTTTTATCTATAGGTGTATCCGTGTCTGCTAGGTCGATCAGGGTTGGGCTCCAATATTACGGTATGAATTTAGCCAATTGAGACATCGCAGTTAGAGAAAGGGATCATGCATCCAAGATTTTATTCACTTTTCCATGCAGAAAAAAGTTCTTTAAGTGTGTGTCATTGCTTTCAGTGAGGAATTACCTTGTTACATGACAGAACCGCCATTTTTGGTTTGCACATGTGTTTATTTACGGTCACCTAAATGTTTGCTAAAGGGCTCATATATTTATAAGCGCTTATTTGACTAAGATGCATTCTAAAATTTAAAACCCACCAGTTTAGCTGAGAAAAATCCGGAAAAATATTTCGGAAAAAGACATTATTTTTATTTTCATGATTGGTGAAAATTAGGGTCGGCGGAATCGTAAACCAATTGAAAAAAAAACTTTGGCCTTGTTTTTGTTCAAAATTAGATGTATATTTTTAAGGAAAAAAATAAAGCATTCAGTAAAGTAAAACAACATATCGTGTATAGCAATGCTGTCATGAATAATATTGATGTAATGTATTTTTGTTTTGTAGTCAAGAGGAAGTTCTGTAAATTCAAGTCCAAAGTCTGGAAGTATATCACTGAGTAACGGA